TTGGGACTCCTCAATGGTGCGCATCCATAATTTCACGAGTGAGACTGAAGGCCCTGGGTTTGAGTCTCGAGATTAGGATCGTGAATGTGTACTGGTGAGGAGTTCCACAACAGGACGAAACGGCCATCCAGTGCTTCCAGATTTTCAATGATGGTCTAACATCAATCGGTTCATGATCCTAATCAAAAAAATTACTCCAAAGAATACCCATTTGACATAATATTTTTGACTGTTTTTATTGCATAAGTGAACACACATAATGTAGATCCTTGTTGAAGTCCATAAATATGAATAAGTAACTTTACTTTGTACTCTGTATATACCAGATAAGACTATGTCGAACTTTCAAATACTCCAATTTTTCATCTACCGAATCTTATAAAAGATAGTTCTCAAGGAAGAAATAGTAGGCTGATTTCGTTCAGAATACTGACTGGTATAAGTTAGATGAACATTGAAAACTGCAAATCATCAGATAACTGTCTCTTTTACAGAAGATTAAAGACTTAAGGGAAGGGCCCAACCTAGGAGCTTCAGATTTCATAAATGATGCTTAATCTTTAATATTTAATTAGCATTAGTTAATCACTTCATACAACCAAATCTTTTATTAAAGAAAAGAGTATGATACAATCTGTATTGGTATAATAATGTAAAGGATTTTTTATACTCAACCTAATAAGCTTTTGAAACGAGCTATTTCAGCAAAGTCCTTTTATATAGTTCTCTTGCTCCATCTTCAATCGAATTATCCTTAGGGAGATTGTTAGCTTGAAAATCACAGAATATACATAGTATTCATCATTACTAATCCATACTTTCAAGGAGAACTGAATATTTTGAGTATTTTATGGTTAGAACAATTGTGTACATATTTGAAAGATTTCAAATGAGATGATGGAGAAGATTTGTAGCTTAGATGGATGATTTGGATAGAGTTTTGTTCTATGATCTGAATGGTTTAGTTGTGGAGCTCTCAATGTTCTTTTGAACGATATCATCAGCATAAACTTCATGTAAAAATTCGAACCCTAAAGTTTGCGTTAATGATGTTGTTTAGTTAAATGATGAAAGTTCTACGACTAAACCATCTAGCTTAGAGAACAAAAATTTCAAAACTCTTATACTTTAGATTAAAAAAGTCTATGAGCTACATAAAAAAATTATACTTTGTAAATATTTAGTAAAATGTAGAAAAAAACCACAGGTTAGATTCAAAATTGTGGCATTTTATATATTAAAGGATCATCATAATATTGAATTAATGAACTCAATTTAGAAATGATATATACAGATCATCAATGAACAAGGAAGTTCAGATGCAAACGTAAAAGCGAGGATTGGCAAAGCAAGGGCCACATTCCTTCAACTAAAGAATATATGGAACTCAAAACAACTTTCAACTAATATCAAAGTTACAATCTTCAATACATACGTCAAGACAGTCAGTTCTACTGTCCGGAGCTGAAACTTGGAGAACTACATTAACCACCATCAAGAAGGTACAAGTATTTATAAATAGCTGTCTACACAAGATACTGAACATCCATTACCCGGATACCATCAGCAATATCCTTCTCTGAGAGAGAACAAACCAGCTTCCAGCTGAAGAAGAAATTAGGAAAAGACGATGAGAATAGATATGACATACATTACGCGAATCGTCAAACTGCATCACCAAGCAAGCTCTAACTTGGAATCCTGAAGGGAAGCGGAAAAGAGGAAGGTCGAAGAACACATTACGTCGGGAAATAAAATCATATATATATATATATATTATTTTCACAGTTTAAATCACGACCTGAACTTAGACACTAACGCCGTCCACTCTCAAGACTAGTGGTCCTGAGTTTGATTCTAGTACGTCGGGTCTTGTCAGCGTATTACTGAAGAGCGTAGTACTAAGATGAAATAATCACTTAGTGTTGATCTAGCTAAGATCAGTTTAGCATTTGAATCGAAAATTCTATAATTTTCACAATTACCCTTTACTAGCTTCACTTGACTCATAATCTCAACCATTGAAATTGCTATAGTATGCATAAATCCGCTTCGGATATTAATCAACATACGCTCACTAATTACTGGCTTCATGCGGTATTTCCTGGAGTTGTAGTGAGAAGCAGTAGCCAGTGGAGTTCAACCGGATCTGCTGTCAGATAGTAACTGACTGAAGACAACAGTGAATGTGTCGCTCAATTTCGTGGATTGGTTGAAGTAAGACATTAACACCACTGAATGCCGACCAACTCAGTGGTCTAGAGGTTAAACGTTCGCGCGCAACACCAATATATCCTGGATTCGAATCTCGCAAGGCGAAGTCGTGCGTGCTCATTTCTGAGGATTCCCACAATAGGACGAAACGATAGTTCAGTGCTTCCAAGTTTTTCATGTTGGTCTAGCTTCAATTGACTGATGATCTCAACGATTGAAATTAATATGTATATATAACTCCAAAATTGGGTAATTCGATATATTATATTTGATTCGAAATACATTCTAAATGAAAAAAATGAGAAAATGTATTTATACTTTTAATTATATATTTATGCGTATTTCTTTATACATAAATTATTTCTTTAAGAAATAAAATAACCTTAAATTTCATGAATGGATCCCGCTGTTCTCCTTCTCTTCCTCCTCCTCCTCCTCGTCCTCATTCACATCCTCATCGTCATCATTATCACCAACAAGATTATCTTAATAATGAAGCCTATGGTTTAAAAAAAAAATCGGGAAAAATAAATGCAAAACCAAAGCGATAATAATAATAATAACTGTTGTAACAATAACAATAAAATAAACATGAACCCATACTTACACACAAAAGAAATAATAATCCAATCTATGTATATATATATATATGGATAGATAGATAGATAGATAGATTTATCCAAGAAGCCAAATCAATTTATAGAAATAATACATAGAGATAAAGAGAAAGAGAGATAGATAGGCAAAAATCTTTTCACCTTTTTTTTCGTTGTATTACGTCATAATGCAATAGAATAATCACTAAGATAAATAAATAAATAAATAAACAAAAAATCTGTATACAAGATGTAAAGACATAGACTGTGTGTGTATGTTTATGTGTATGTGTGTGGTTGTGCTTTTGTTCAATGTAAATTCATTGATTTCAGTAAAAGATCATAATCATTTGGTATCCGGATAAGAGAAAAATGAAAAAGAAAATCATATCCAATCTAATGATTACATAATAGAGAAGAATGAGAATTACGATGGTTATTCATCACCTAAATAGATAAATAAATAAATGAATAAATAAACATATTGATATATATATGTATCTATCTGTATAGAATAGATAAGTATTGTTGTGGGTTTTTTTTCTTCTTTTGTAATCACAACCAAAATATTGTTTATTTGTTTGTCTGTTTTTTTTGTTTTGTAAAATGCTTCTTTTGATTTTTCCACAAATTATTTGTCAATTTATAGTAGAAATAAAATAAAAAAATGATTAAAATAGAAATTTTGAATATTTATTTTAAAAGTAATATCATCTACTTATATGATTTGGTAATCAGTAGTATGAAGATGAAATAGTTAAAAATAAACATAGCCCTTCCCCCCCTCCGTTAATAAATTAGTATCTAAGCGAATAGAAAACAACAACAACAAAAAAAAAGAAGAAAATGCATTAATTCTGATGAAAGGAACGACTATTTTTGTGCTATTCGTTTGCGTTGTTTGTTTTCGCTCTTTTTTTTAACTGCTTAACACCATGTCATCAATTTATCACTTCATGATTACGAAACACATTACAATTAGATTACATAATAATGGATGATATCAGATTACAAAATAAAACGATAAATAAACTAGGATATTGAAATAACAACAAGAAGTAGAAGATGACGACGAAGAAGAAGAGAACAGAAGAGGAATAAAAAAGGAATACAGAAAAAAAGAAGAAAAAGCATCTTCCAATCAACAACATGTAACAAATAAAAGATTTAATTAAGGCGCTCAATAATCAATCATATTACAATCATATGTAAAAAGAAAAGAGAATGTATTCGATTAAAACAATCTGTTCTTTATAAAGATGAAGATTATTATTATTATTGTCTTATTTATTGCACTATTGAAATCAGATTCGATTTAGTTTAAAGGCATAATGTTTATGAAAGTTCAAAACTCCGCCTCACATTCACACTTCACCCACAAACATACAAAAACAAACAAACAAACAAATCAAATATCATTTCTTATCTCATTATATCTATTCAATAAATTAAAAATCTTAAATATAAAACTCTATGTAATCCCTATAACAATATATATGATAGAAGTGAAACTACTATCAATCATCAAAATAAGTAGTAGAGTATATTTCATTCCAATATTTCAATGATATAATTATAATAATAATCATATAAATAATAAGAATTACGTAATAGGATTACAATTTTCTTTTTATGGTCATTACTTTTTACTCAATAATATAGACACCTTTTTTTTACATGGTTTAAATGGATTTTTTTTCTTGTTTTCTCTAGGCAAAAAAGAAAGAAAAATAGAAAAAAAATCAATTAAATATTTGATTTTTCAGTCTATATAGTTTTTCCTCTTTTTTGTTTTTCTCATTGTTGTTTTTATTGTTGCTAAGTGAATATCGAATTGTTTTATTCAATTCTATTTATAGATTTTCTTTTCTTTCAATTATTTAATTATAAATAAATTGTATGAAATAAATAGAAAAAAAGAAGTTTTTTGAAGAAAAAAGAAAAAAAGAAGAAAAAGAAAAAAAGAAGAAGAAGAAGAAGAATGAAAAACTTGTAATTGATCTAATTGTAATGAATCCATATTAATAAATAAATGTATATATATATATATATATATATATATATATATATATATATATATATATATATATATATATATAGATAGATAGATAGATAGATAGATAGATAGATATTTCATTGTATTTACAAATGATTAATTATTAAAATGAAATATAATGGTTACATATTACATAATCACATTGATTCAATATTGATAACATGTAATCAATTGAATGAATATAATGAAAATTAAAATGTGATATCTAATATATGCATGATCTAAACATAATATACTTTAAGTAGATTGAAATCATAATGAATCTCATTGAATTAATACAAGTCACTATGCCTTTTTTTTTCTTAATAATAGAAGAATAGAATTGTAAGCATTAAGCATTAGATTCTTTCATTTCAGCAAAATAAGCAACTAAACGATCATGAGATAAACATAATAATTCTTGTTCCCAACTTAAATCTGTTTGTGAATTCATAAATTGATATTTATTCATATTTTTATGATGAGATTTTATGGAATGATATTGTTGTTGTTGTTGTTGTAATGGCATCATCGCTGTTGATGATGTTGAAGAAGAAGAAGAAGAAGAAGAAGAAGAAGTAGATGATGATGATGTTGATGATGATGATTTTTCATGATCATTTATTACAACGGTATTTGGTTTGAAATCATTATGCTCTATAGATTCACCTAAATAAAACATTAAAAAGAATTAATGTTATAAAGTAAATGATGTATAGGTGAGAATGATAATGAATGGTTGTTTGCTTAGTCAGACATATAGGTAATCTGACAGGTATTAGATGAGTTATATATTCCCCTATCCTTATTATTATTAGAACACTCACTTTTTATTGATTGTTCATTATTGCTGGATTGTGCCGGATTTTTGGTGTAGAAATATATTTACGTTCTAGTCGGGCTAATTACATGTTCTTGATCTATGTTGTGTTGCAGTCCTGTTGAATAGACACTGGGAAGGAATCTAGTGTAGATATTCGTTTAAGGCAAATTAACGTCTCATACGTGTAAATGTGGAAACCCAACCATCAGAACATCAGACGAAGTAAAACTGAGCGTTATAAAAGTAAACTAAACAGGTTTTATGAAAACTTGTCTAAAATTGAATGAATAGTCTTAATCACTGAAGAAGGGACTTACGCTGAGTCACGAAACGTCAGAAAATTTAATTTCTCTACTGATTAAGATATCTACAAATAAATTAATTTATTTATAACAATCTATCCAATGCTTAATTTATTCGAAATTATTAAGTTAAACCTTAATAATGATACCTACATCGAGTAAAAGTTAAGCAATGACTTGTAAAAGTGAAAATCCATGAATAATCTATGGTGATAAGTTCTTAAATGTGAGACGTTAGAAAATTCTATAGTAGGACAAATCCCATGTTCAATAATTTTTGGTATTTAGTGGTTCGTGATATTAACATTGAAGTTTCACAACAGCTCTTTGTATAGTGTATTAGAGATATCAAAAAATAACCAAAACAACAATTAATCAATCATATTTGTACAAATAATAGTAAATGAGGTATTGAAGTAATACCAAGGTTTTGGGTCGATAGTGTAATGAGAATACCAAAAAAGAAAAGAAAAGAAAAGAAAGAATAATATACGGTTGTGTTGTTTTTTTCAAATAGATTGATTAATCAAGGCATTACTGAACATGATAATCAGATAGAACAAACGAGTGTACTTTGTTATGACATGTAAAATATAAGATTAACAGAAGAAATTTGATTCAATTTTATACTTACCTAATAATGAATATTTATTATACTGTGGTTAATGATAATAGAACATTTGAGTAATTTGTAATTGTAGTCAATGAAAATATTGTGAATCTAATTAGCTTGTCTAAAAATGAAATATTTATGATCATTGTATAGATTAGATGGTGGTTGGAGGTAGTCAACACGAAATCCTGGACCCGAGTTTCGTGCTACCTGGCACTCGTCAGCAAAGTGTACTTGTAATCTTGAGAGAACTGGTGCTTCCCGACGGATTCGATTCCGTATCACCCAGTTTCACAGTCAGACACGTTACCACTGGTCTATCCGGGTCGCGACCGACCTCCTGTAGGACTGAGATGTAATGACAATTGATTGATCCCTGGGTGGTGGTCAATGTCATGTATGTTAGGTCCTTCTTAATGCACATCGAATCCTATCGATCAAGTTGCAATGTAACCATCAGTCTAAGTTATTTGATCTACACTAAGAACGATTTGACATACATGACATTGACCACCACCCAATGATCAATCAATTGTAAGTATGTCTCAGTCCTACAGGTAGCCAGTTGTTGACCGGATAGCTCAGTGGTGACGTCTCTGAATGGGAAGCTGGGTGACATAGAATCGAATCCGTCAGGGACCACCAATTCCCTTAACAGTGCAAGTACACCTTGCTGACGCGTGTCAAGTAGCACGAAACCCAGGTTCATGGTTTCCTGTTAACTACCTTCAACCACCATCTAATCTCAACATAGCGCACACAGTGTTGAGCCACCTAGACTAGTGGCCACATTGCAACATGGTCGATAACATTCGATCTGCACTAGGAAGGACTTGACATCCATGACATTGATCACCCATCAACTAGCGATCAATCAATTGTGATGATCACTGTACAGTTTATTCCTAAATAACTTGAGTTATTTATTGAATATAGATGCATACACACTGATATTTAAATTCTACTGTTTGTTACAAGAGATCATGACATTACCGTTCAACTGCCTAAATTAATGTAGGTACAATGAAGTACTAAAAGCACTGATTACATAATAAATATTTGTCGGTCAGTAATACGTAGAACTTAAAATAGAGATCTTTTCTTATGAATGAATTTTGATATTATTGTGCTTATAATTACTTATAAAGTATATTATCCTTATTAAATCTACATTGTGTACAATTGAATATTGTATGAAGATGAAACATGGAGAACTACTACAACCATCATCAAAAAGGTACCAGTATTTATAATAGTTGTCTACGCAAAATATTCAATGTCTGTTGGTTGGACACTATCAGCAACAGCCTATTCTGGGAGAAAACAAACCAGCTTCCAATAGGAACTTTAAAGAAGGACGATGGAAATGGATGGGACATACATTACAGAAATAAACAAACTGTATCACGAGGCAAACTCTAACTTGCAATTCTGAAGGGAAACAGAAAAGAGGGAGGCCAAAGAACACATTACATTGGGAATTGAAAGAAGACACCAAAAGGATGAATAGCAACTGAAAACAACTGGAAAGAATTGTCTAGGACACAGTTTTATGGAGAATGTTGGTCAGTGACGTATGTTCCTCCTCGAGAGGCAATATACATAAATAAGTAAGTAATGTAGAATTCAGTAGTATCGTTTATACATTGCACCCTTAAATCATTCAATTCAATCTGTTCATTTTGTATATTTCGTATAATTTTATCACAGATTGAAATCATGAGTCAGTTGAAGCTAGACCACCATTAAAAACCTGGAAGCACTGGACGGCCGTTTCGTCCTAGTATGGGACTCCTCAGTAGTGAGCATCCATGATCCCATCTCGAGAGATCAAAATCCAGGACCAGTCAGTCTCGTGAGCGAATGCTTAACCTTTAGACCACTGAACCGGCCGGCATCCAACGGTGTTAATGTCTAACTTCAACTAATCCACCAAATTGAGCGACACATCCACCATTGTCATCAGTGATTTACTATCTCACAACAGACCCGGTTGAACACCACTGGTCAATGCTTCTCACTAAAACTCTTGGAAATACCTCTTGAAGCCAGTCACTAGTGAGCATATATTGATTAATATCAGAAGGGGTTTCGTGGATATTATAGTGATTTTAATAGTTTACATCATGAGTCAATTGAAGCTAGACTACTACTGAAAACTTGAAAGCATTGGACATCCGTTTCGTCCTATTGTTAGACTCCTCAGCAGTGTGCATCCACAATCCCACATTAGGATGAAACTATCGTTCAGTGCTTCCAAGGTTTTTCATGATGATCTAGCTTCAATTGACTCACTAATCTTAACTATTGAAATGACTACAAACTCCACAAAACCCCTTCTGATACATATAATCAAAGGTAGTTTTAACTATGATGAATTACTTTTTAAAAATGTTTTTTTTCTTTAATTATATCGCTTCTAATATTATTTATTATCCATATAATATAGGAAACTTGAAAAAAACGATACTTTACAAAGAAGAAAATTAAAAAGAAAAAGAAAACGTAAATTATGTGGGCTAATACTGATTCTTTGTTGCTGTTGTTGTTGTTGTTATGTAGGTGTTGAGAGATAAACAGAAACAATGAGAAGAAATAAAAGGGATCTAATGAAAGCTGGACAATTATTTGTTTGTTTTGGTTTTTTACTTCAGTTAATTACAACTTATATATTTATTTATCTTTTTTGTATTGTTTTAGAAGTAGGCTAATTAACAGTGTTTATATGTAAAGTTATAATAATAGACCTTTCCTTGTCTTCTTCTTCTTCTTCTTCTTCTTTAGATTACCTTTCATTAGAAGAGTTTTACACAAAACGTTTTAGGGTAATGGAATGGTATACTAAACAAATGCAAATACAATTCTGTATCGATAATTATGCACGTATTCTAAAACGTGATAAAGTGAATATATAGTAAGTATATTGATGTTCAAGTCTGAAATTAGCCTGATCTGTTTGAGTTCGTTTTTAATGAGTCCTATTTAACAGTAGTTGATATTTCTAAAGATTGTTAGTCAAACTGAACATTCTGTGGTTATTTCAAACGGATTTTTTATATCTTTTTTATAGAATGCGACGACTAGCAATGGAGCTAATGTTTCAATCAGCTTAGCCATTAAAACCAGATCATTATATTTAAAGTTATTCCAGATTTATCTATCAGAGGTGTTTGCTATCATTGGCTTTAGATTAACTGAGACTTTTTTTAAAAGTCATATCAGTCTTATTAGGTTGATGTATGACAAAATTTCTACATGGACTCGATAAACTCAATTAGTATTTGCTAACAAATACTTGTGAACTAAATGAAATGTCCGTCCACCAACTAACAAGCGTTTATACTGAGCAGCAGTTTACTCTGTAGTGCTTTATAGTTATCAAACATATTTATCTACTTCTAATTCTAACTTTTAATGATCAGAAATGTTATCTATTTTGTAGACTAAAGACATGACTCATAATTTTGTGTAAAAAAGTTCTTTACACTGAATGTTACTATAATAACTGTTTTCAACCTGCTATAGCTAAAGAAAATTAGGCTTGAAAATGAAATTTATCATGACTGTGTTATGTTCGTTAACTTGAATGCTACTACTGATTCATCTTACTCGGAACAGAACGAAGAATCAAGAATTTAGAGACTCAATAGGCTTGTTAGGTTTGATGCTATCGCGAGTTCACATGATCGGTGGACGAGAACAAGACTCGGTGATCAAGGATCACTAAGCTAGCTATTGATGCGTCCCAGCCCCGCTAACTAAAAGGAGAAGTCCAAGCTTGGAATGGGGAGTATATTCTGCAAATCAGCCAGAAACGAGCGATAACAACAAACACAATTGAAAACATATATATACAGTGCAAAACCGTCCTTAAGGAGAGTCACCAAATAGCATACTAAAAGACACAACAGACCAATAGCATTTAAAATATTTCCCAGTGGGAAATACGACATGAAGGTGAAAAGAGCGCCTTTGGTGCGAAAACAAAGAAATTCAAATTTTTTAAATAAATTACAAAATTAGGTCCTTTCCTAAGTGAGTTCTGGGGATCTAACGTCCCCAACAGACTGAAACTAGATATCACGTAAACTGAAATTTGTAGTTTAACCCCATCACCATTGATTATAATTAGGATAAATTAGCAGATATAATAGGGAAAATTGTTTTTTGTACCTTAGATCAGTACAAATAATTATTGTATGTTACAATGATCAAATATCAAGCTAGTTTAAAAGCCAGAAGAATGTCATATTAACTAAACATTATACTAATGATCTTGGATTTTATGTTGACTCCAACAGAATCTCACTTATATTTGTAAGAAGGAAGAATGATTAGTGTTTCATATTATTATTTATCTCTTGATAATAATTCATTTAGTGAATATCGATTATAATTATATCACCAGATTATGTAATCTCTTATTTCTAATATACAAATTAATAATAGTGGCCTCCATTATTCCAGTTTGTATAGCTAGAAATGACATATTTCAATGAATAAAGTTGAAGTGAATCTTTAGAATAAGGTAGAAAATGTTTGAGAAACAACAAGGTATAAAATCTGATACAAAGTATGGTAATAGTCTTGACTGACGTGCAATATCATGTTCAAAATCTAATCTATTCATATGTGATCAAAATTATTGAAATGAATCGATAAATCCATTTTATTGTGAAAACTTTCTTATTCCTTTTTTTAATTGAGATCATGAACCAACTGATGTTAGATCACCATTGAAAACCTGGAAGCACTGGACGGCCGTTTCGTCATATTGTGGGGCTCCTCAGTGGCGCGTACCCACAATCCCGCTCGCGGGACTCGAACCCAGGGTATTCAGTCTCGTGCTCGAACGCTTTACCTGTAGACCATTGAGCTGGTCAGCATCCAAAGGTGTTAGTGTCTAACCTTAAGCAATCCACGAAATTGAGCGACCATCTTCCATTATACTGAGGTAGAAACCTGTTTCTACGCGACACTGATTAGCTCCACTGGTCACGGCTTCTCACCAGAACTCGGAGGATTTTTTCACGAAGCTAGTCACGAAGCGTTCGCGCGAGACTGAAGGCCCTAGGTTCGAATCCAGCGAGCGGGATCGTGGATGTGCACTACTGAAGGGTCCCGTGATAGGACAAGACGACCATCCAGTGCTTACAGGTTTTCAATGGTGGTCTAATATCAATAGATTTATGATCTTAATAAATAAAAATACTTAACAATCTCCACAACCCCTAAATTGATAATTTCTTATTTTTATTGTATTCTAGTTGAAAAAGGAACTAAATGTATGAAATATACGACATAAGTTAAATGCTTAATGGTATTGGTAAACATTGTTACATAATATATTGTTATATTTTACTTTTTTAATAGAAATAGAAAGAATATATGACGACTCATCTTGTACTCAGCTATTTCAATAGAACATTTATTTAAAAAGAATTTTTCTTATATATTCACTGCACAGAAAGATACAATGAATAATTTGAAAGAATTAATACTAACAATATAAGTAGTATGTTAGATGATTAAAAGTAGTTAATTTAAAGATAACTGAAATTAATCAATAAAATGTAGTTACAATTTTGATGAAATTAATATATACTAATGAATTTAAAATTGAATCACTTAATTTTACACTAGAGTATGATACTTTAAAGCTATTCAGATAACAACTAAGCTTCTGTATAAGTAAAATATTTACATTGATTCATCATTGAATGATATTGAATGTAATTAAGAATAATATAAATACTTTATTATGATTTATTGTTTCCGTATAAAATGTATTAAATTTTATCCTTAACGTTTATAAGAATGAATTACATATTATTCAATAATAGAAATAAACTTATATAAACTCATTTCAAAGTGATTTAAGTTACTATTGAATTCATTAAAACTTTAATAATGAGGTTCATTTATATGCTTGTTATATCCGAGCGAAGATTAAATCATGAGTAACTACTGAGACCTATTAATGGACTAATATTCCATATATATATATATATATATATATATATATATATATATATATATATATATATATATATATATATATATATATATATATATATATATATATATATATATATATATATATTCTTATGATATAACTATTTAATAATTAGATTATGTATATTTATATTCCTCTTATTATAAGCTTTATTTTGACCTATAATTTAATATTGTACAATTTATGGTTCTTAAGCTATGTTCAGTTTATTGATCACAGTCTCCCACGTTCACAGACACATTTTGGCTTTATTGTGTACAAATATTATTTCCTATTTTATGGTGCGTTGCGATCTGTATGGTTGATATATAAACCGAGTATGTTTGAAATAAATGATTTATATTGAAGGAGGTGGTATTGTGTTCTGAACTCAAGTAGACGGGCTAGGCGGACATAGGATCAATAAGGACGCTAGACTGCTCATACCGGTCGAACGTCATTGGTTTGGCACAGTGCTAAGATAGTATAAGTCGTATTTTGATTAGTGGATAAATCACGTAATAAAAACCGGACATAAAATCATAACAATGCTAAAACATTTACTGTTTTAAATATTAGATAAGATATCAACAACAACAACAAAAAAGACGATTAAAGTTGAAATCATTTATATTTGTCTATTTAATGATCAAATGATTCTATACAGGATAAACTAAATTGATCTGATATAAAGTAGGAGTCCATTAGTTTCTGATTATTAATTATTAATTAAGAGTTAAGCGTTCGTATGGAAGACTGAAGGCTTTGGGTTTGAATCCCGTGAGCGGGGTCGTTGATGCGCATTGCTGAGCAGTCCTACAATAGGATGAAGCAGCCATCCAATGCTTCCAGGTTTTCAATGGTGGTCTAACATCAATCGGTTCATGATGTCAGTCAAAAAATTATTGATTAGTTGAAAGCATTCGTTAATGATAACTGTAATACACTATCACAAATTGAATTAAACTGACAATGTTGACCAGTGAAATAAAATAATTACTATTATTATAAAAAAAGTTCAGTATTCTAGAGGTAATGATATGATCTGAAGAAGAGAAGCTTATTGGTTCAAAATCTAATATCCTATGTATAGTTTGAAGAGGTAGTTAATAGGAAATCCTAGACCTTAATTTCAAGTTTTGTGACACTCACTATCAGAGTATACCTACAATCTTGAAGGACGTGAGCTTATCTGAAAAACTTGAGCTCCTGCCAACTAGCCTCATAGTTGCTAATCTGTTATTCTTGGTGAAATTGACTTGGTATTGAACTTGATCAATTATATTTAGCCAGCATCAAGTAGAAAATGAACATGACATCGATTATCACTTACTGATCAACAGATATTGATCCTTGATTTTTAGTAGTCAGTTCGCTTGTTTAAAATTTGCTAAACATACACAAAGTAGGTTTTCATTTCGTTATAATTTTTACTGGCTTACCAACATTAATTTTCATATGGACATTAAAATTTCTTATTAACTTATATTATACACAAGACTAAATAATGATTATGCTTACAAAGTCAACAGAACTTACATAAATTTTGTTGTGAATCAATTCCTTTATCTGAATACAGTGCAGAATTTGTTAGTCCATTATCATTTAATTCAGTAGTATCATATTTCGTGATCATAGGAATTGACAAATCTCTTGACTGTTCTGATATATTACTTATATAATTATCTAATTTTTGATGATGTTTTGTAATTGATTGATCACAATGATTTTGATGATGATAATGATGGTGTTGAAAATGATGATGATGATGCTGCTGCTGCTGATGATGATGATGATGGTTAGATTTATTATCTTCAACATGAGTTTTAGATTGATGCTTACGTTTACGTCGTCGTTTCTGATGTACCGGATGATACCACCATAAACTTTCTTCACTTGGACTTTGTTGTTTATTTAAATATTTTGATAAAATATCATAGGATGAAGAGAAAAGACAATCTTGACAAATTTCTGATGTGTTATTATTATTGTTATTAATAGTATCGATGTTATTTTGTTTAGTTTTATGTTTTTTATAAATATTTTCATTTAAAATTTTTACACATTCTTTAGAAGAATCAGTTTGACATAAGGCTGAATACAATTCATTTGTTACATGGAAACTCTGAAATGTAAAAATGAATAACAATGACTGAAGGAAAATTATGTAAAAGTATTCATGAATGAGTCTTATAGAGATTACTATAATTTGAAGGTGTTATTCGCGGTAGATGACCATCATTTAAGGTACTATGGAAATCTATAATGTTATGTACAAACGTTTCGTAGCAGCAACAGCGCTAAGTCACGATTGTTGTTGCTACCTTGACGCAGTGGTCGAGATTGCTTATTGTGATGAAGCAACCGAGCTATACTGGCTGGGAAAACCGTTCCTCAAAGTTCTACCATGTCAAACAGGCTGGCTGAAGAGTGGTAAGACTAAAAGCAACAAGTCTAACGTCCGAAGGCGAAGTCGTACTGCTGACTGTACAGAGGTGTGACAGCAGTAAGGTGTTTCCTTCAGACAACCAACATGACAGCGATGCTGCCTTCCCACAGGGAGAGGTGGGGTTAGAAAAAATCGACCCTAAAAATTCACACCTCACTTTGTCCCACTGATATCCGTCTCCGATGGTGAGGTCTCAACAATTGCAGAGCTAACACAAAAATTATTCATAAAAAGGCTGTGTGTGATCGACCTCAAGCAGTTGTCCCTTGGGCACTGCAGTCACGCTCTCAGGTCACTAAGATCACCTCTAATCAAATTTCCTTTTCAGGTACCTCCATTAGAACCCTTCCACGGTGCGGGCAACCGGAAAGTGATAATTGTCCTCATACCTCTAACAGCACTCAAGACCACCATATTCATAATCAACCTCCCTCTTCAATTCTTATTATTCCTTACTGACTGACCGAAAGCACTAAGTATTGAACCAATGACTCAAATGTTATGAGATGAACACTTAACTCTTGCACTATTATGTCGGTACACAATGCTATACATTTCTAAGTTTTATTAATTTATGGTTTCGTGTAACGATTCTTCTGTAAGATTATTATAACAAAGTAAAAAGGCGAAGATCAGTTATGAAATTAGCCTCTAAAATATAGTAAGTACAAATCTATAAGTTACGTTTCGTTTAATCTTTAAGTAAGAATAAAAGATCAAAACTAAATTGATTCAGTGTACGATTGATTAAAACCTTGATCACGATGAATCTAACTACAAATAAATACATAAAGTTTGTCAATATTTGTTTTTTTGTATTAGATAATATTATTAAATATGATAGATCACTACTGGACACAATTCACATCATTCATCATCAATCAGTTATTGTGTGACTATAGAAACTTGTCTTTCATCTAGAATGTTATCTTCAGAAACAATAAAAGTGTTTTTGTCAAATGTTTACTGACTGATGACTGTAAATGATGATTATTCTATTTAGTTTATTGGTTAAATTTAAAACTTTAAGTGCTTCACATCGAAACTTAGTAGTTAAATCATATCATATACTAATCAAGAGAATTGAAGGTTTTGGGTTCTCATATCATATAAAGTTACTGGTTCACAATTTAGATGAATATGAACAACCATTGGTACTACCACTTGGCTGATTATAGTGATGAACCTTCACCACATAATATGCGACATTGTATCCAATGTCTTGTTCTTCGAAGAAGTAACTTGTGATTATTCAAAATAAGATTATTTTTCATTTATATTAATCCGTAAACGTTTACAATCAGTCTTGGTATAATCTCGACATCATTAAACAACATCGAATATATTTGAACCATAAATTTGTCTTTCACTTCTTTAAAGGATATAAGAAGAAAAAAAGATATATACAAACCATTGTTTTAGTATTTCTCAAGTTTCTCAATCATTAGATCTTCTGAACTGTCTTATGAAAGTGCCTAAGTACACATGATAGACGGAATTAATTAGTTAGTTACAGTAAATTTAAAACAAAGAAATCCATGACAATAGATGTAGGTTTGAAAAAAAAACAGTATTCAAAAGTTTCAGTAGACTTCCATACTTCATTATTAGTTTGATATGAACATTGATTTTTATTACAATATAAACTTACTTGAGGCAAACTAAGTGGACGTGGATGTTGATTATTTGTATTATTATTATTATGTCTTGTTAAATGACCAAGTGTATGATAAGTAATAGCTCCACGACTTGTAGTTCTTATTGGAGGATTTGGTGGACTTTGATTAAATGAACTAGTTTCATTTAATTCTAATACTTCATTAAGTTGTAAATGATTTTCATGGATATTGGTATGATCTATTAATGGACTGTGTAATTCACATTGTTGATTAGTTGAACAACAATCGGATTGATTCCGTTTTAAAGATTTCTCTAATGTTTTTCTTATTTGCCATGGAGAGTTCAATGGACATATAGGTGAAGAAACATTTAACATTTCTATTGTTGTACAATCTTGTCTGTCTATTGTAGATTGATTATTACTATTATTATGTTCTAAAAAATCTTTATGATGTATATCATCTGTATTTAATAAAGGTTGTCTACGGTAACCTGAAATCATCCAATCTTGATTAAAATTACTCTGATAATGTTGATGTTGCGAAGATGTAATCAAACTTGATTCATCATTACAAACCTGTGATAGACATATAGGTAGAGGTGATAACATTTGACAAACAGATTGATGTCGATTAATTGGTGATGAGATCACAGGAGAATGTTTTATATTTGTAATGTTTTTCGATTTATTCATAGTTGATAATGAAATATCATTGTGATTTAATAGATCACTACATAGTACTGTGGTAGTACGTTCATCATGTAAATGAACTGGTAATATTTGTTTACGATGTAATGATGCACTAGCACTTCCATTTAACATCATCAATGGATTTGAGTTGTTTAACCAGGATTCACTAACTATTACAGAGTTTGTTAATGTATTATTATTATTATTATTACTCTGTTGATTGATATATTTCATATTTTCTGGAGAATAATCTGATAGGAAAAGTTGTGGATTAAGGAATTGTTGAGTTAGTTCTTGTTGTACATGATAATGTTGCTTCTTATTTGATATTGGATTACTAATTATTCTGATACTACATTCTTGACCCTAATATAATGTAATTATATATATGAATAAAAATTAGGTAAATAAATTTTATAAAAATCATGAACCTATCAAAGTTAGGAAACCACTGGAAATTTAGAAGCATTGAATGACCATTTTATCTTAGTATAGGGCTCCATAGCAATATGAATTCACATTCCCGCAACTAGAACTCGAGCCCAGAACCTTCTGTCTGTTATGTGGACGTTTAAAATCTCAACCATTGAGCCTATTTTTAATCGTTTAGAAGTTTAAATTCAACCACTTTATGATATTACTCGACTATTTATGATTATTTTCAGTAGGTGTCTTCCTACTAGTAAAAAACAACCATCCAGTGCTTCCATGTTTTCAGTAGTTGTTTAACTTAGATTGGTTCTTGATCTACAACCATATACTGACATAAAAAATGTTTCTTTTTACCACCAATCTCTCAACTTGATTATTCTTGTTAAACTTCTTTAAAAATATAAATAAATAGTATAATTGTAATATCCCAATAAGTAGAAAAATGAGATTTTCGGAAGTTTCGTGGCTTAGTGTAAGTCACTTCTTCAGAGAATAAATGACCAAATTAAAATTAATCCAAGTTTATTCGAAATTATCAAATCAAACCTTGGTAATGATAGCTACTTATTTAAAAATAGGTTGTTCATTATTTGTCAATATGTAAAACTGAACAATCGTTGAACAATTTACTATTCAGTTGCCTAATGCATAACAAAGAGTCGAAGTAACTTTGGAAACAACAACATAAACATTAATGAAACCCTGATAAAATTAACTTGGGGTTCCAAACTTCACTGTCAGCTAATATTGAATTATATCAATCAGTCAGTCAGTCAACAACGTAGAACTTCGTACGTATGAACATAAGTTCGAGTTGCCATACCACACTAGCACAGAGATGCTGTTGTCGATTCGAATCCCGAAGTGGTAGAGGTAGTAAGAGTATAAGCAGTAATCGGGAAGATCAGGGTTTGGAGATGTTATTTAAAGAGTATAATACAGCGAAATAAATTTGAAAAGAAAATAAGGGACATGACGAATTAAGAAGATTAAAATTTGGGAGAACACAAAGAGTGGATGCACCTGCGCCATTGCGAACGATTTTAAGCCATGTCATTCAGGGTCTCTAACCATCGGTTGCTATCATCTCGCGGTCCCCAACCAGATAGTCTACACCTACCGACATGACTCAGTCCACTTGTCGGTGACTTCATGGACTTGTGCCATGTTTTCGTCTGGCCGCCCCTAGCTTTCTTCCAATCTACTCCTATACCACTGAACATTGCACGTCGAGGCAGTCGGTCGTTGGGCATACGTAACACGTGTCCCAGCCATCTCAACTGATGAAGTTTCACTACTTCATCAATTGATTTTCCATCCTTACCTAGTACCCGTTTCCTAACAGCTGCGTTACTTACTCGGTGGTCCCAGGATATACGAGCAATGTTTCGAAGACACCTATGATCAAATACTAGTAACCTACGAATATCCTCTACTCTTACCGGCCATGTTTCACTGCCATAAAGTAGGACGGAACGAACTGCTGCGCTGTAAACACGTCCTTTGGTTGGTAGACGGATATCTCGCCTACGCCATAAATGACGCAAGTTGGCAAAAGCTAGTCGAGCCTTCTGTATCCGTGCTGAGATTTCGTCACACACCAAACCACAAGGGCTGATGAGACTCTCGAGATAAGTGAAGCGGTCGAAACCCTCAACTACTCCACTCCCAATCATTAGTTCAGGTGCCGATGCAGCTTAATCCTGAAGAAAAATTTTCATTTCGAGGGGTATTCAATATGTGACTTTATAAGGTTAACTATGAAAGAATACTAGTATACATATACATATCCTAAGACACTCAAATCGCAGAAGAAAAAAAGAATTCTGGCAAGATCTGTAATAAGTCTACATACCACCAGTCTGACTTTCTGTTGGCTTGTACCAAACAAATTTTACATTCGAATTTTCTAAATAAAGATATCCTTAGGTCGCCTACAAACTGAACATCATATAAACGGTATCTTGATATTAGTTAAAGTTACCTTTGACTATACCTCATTACCATTCAATAGATAACAATAAAATCACTGCGTTACGTAGGGATTCCTATAATAACGATGAAAGTGATAAAAAAAAGTAGTAAAAATCATCACAAAAGACCCATGATACCTGATAATTGCGCTGCGTAAATGCTGTTGTATGACGTTTCAAGTGACGACCAAGTGTTTGACACTCATTCTTAGGTGCATTACTGGCAGGTATAGACAATCGGTTATACAAAAATGAATTAGGTTGTATTTCTTCTGTATATCCAAATTGTTGTGTAAGATTATCACTTGTTACATATAAGAAACGTGAATCCGATTCTATAGTGTCTGAACGTAAAGTATCTTGCCATACACTTTCACGATATGGTGACTGTAATAATAACAAATCAGCTTCACCAACTGATAATACAGCAGTTGTAGAATTTTTCTTCATTCCATTAAATTGCACTGGACGTTTATGTGTATGAGATAAACTGGCATCTATTTTTGGTACACCAATGCTACTACCATTATTAATAATGTTATTAGTAGTAGAATTTGGCGCTGTTATGCTAAAATTAGTTAATTCCGAATTATAACCAATAAGCTGACCATGGTGATGGTGATGAGGATTTGAGTTTTCGTCTAGTTTATCAATTTCATTTCGTTCACTAATAACATGTTGACGACCAACCCATACCCAACTTGAATCACGATGTAACAATGGCTGTAAATAATCAAAATAGTAGATATAAATTATGGAAAAATCTAAGACATTTAGGCAAAGAAAATTTTCTCATTACACGACTGAATTTATTAACAATATTCAATTGTGTTTAGTATACATATACATTATAAACAAACAGATAGATATCTTGATCAAGTCTAAATTTGGTTTTCATCATGAATTAATATCATTTAACTAATGACTAACAATCAAGAAATGTTGGATGGCTACGTTAGGTGGTCGAAAGTAGTTGATATGGAAACGTGGACCTCAGTTTCGTGTTATTTGGCACTCATCAGTTGAATATACCTGTAATCTTGAGGGACCCGTGTTACGCAGTTTTAAAGTCTGCGATGTTACCACTGAGCCATTCGGTTGAGGCTTTAAAGGTCTAGGGGTAGCATCTCAGTCTGTGAGTTCATGTAACTCGGGCTGGAATCCTCCAGGAAGTATCAGTTTCCCCAAAATTACTAGTACACTTTGTTGGACACAAATAGGCACGAAGCTTAGGTCCAGGACTACTCTTAATGGCCTTCAACCACCTAGCATCTCAAAACATTGAACACGATATCAAGTTACGTAGACCAATGACCATATTAAAGACTGATTGATTAACACTTAAAAGGATTAGATAAGAATGACATTGGTTGTTATTCAGTGATCAATCAGTTGTTACTAACGGGTATGGATTTCAGATTAGTATGATATTTTTGAATAGTACATACTTCTCATATCACTTGACATTTATCCGAACATCAGATTTTATGGTATGATTGCTACTTTTAGACAGTCGCTAAATATCTTGGGGTCAGTTAACATCGCGAATGTTCAACTACCTTACAACCGATATGAATGAATCGCATTGATTATGATGCCTCACTAATTTTACTGAAAATGATTACATTAAGATGATCAGTATGAGGATTTGTGGAAAGTAAAGTACTTTCACAGTTGGATTCACGAGTTGATCTAAGCTAGACCGTCATTGAAAACCTGGACGCACTAGATGGCCGTTCAGATTTTCATAGGTTTAACTATAAATCTAATTAGGATTCTAATAAAATTCAACAATCTCCACAAATCCTCATTATGATAATAACCACGTGTTCACTATTGGCTAGCTTCAAGATTGATTTTTCAGAGTTCAAGTGAGAGACAGTTATACACCTCAGACAATGGGTGAAGGGTTGCGCAAGATCGTGGATCGATTGAAGTGAGACACTAACATTGTTGAATGCTGGCTCAGTAGTCTTGAGCCCAAGTGTTTGCGTGAGAGATCTAAGATTTTGGGTTGGATTTCCGTCTGCGGGATCGTGGATGTGCACTGCTAATGAGTTCAATACTAGGACGAAACAGTCGTCCATTTCATCGAGATTTTCAAATATGGTCTAGCTTAGATCGACTCGTGAATCCAACTGTGAATATACTAAGATGAAACAATTGCTCAATGCTTTTTGATTTTCAATGGCGAAAATCTAATTCGATCCAAATATAAATTCATTTGTCATAAATACATCAATACAGTTTGGAAGCATTTCTAAGCTTCTAAATATTTATCAAAGTAATGTCAATAAAATAGCGTTTCGTTGCAGTCTTGTAGTTAAATTACACTCAGACACAATATTGTTCACATTGTTATTGTATGAGATCAGATCATGTTCAGCGGTCATTCACCTAACGTACAGGTCTGATAAAGAGAGAAGGCTATTACTTTTAGAACCATTGTATAAGACAGTATTCAGTGGTTTATATGTAAAACTATAGTCAGCTTGAATTTGTTATTATTGGTAAAGCACACAAATTAAAAATAAGCCTATCATATAAATCATTTCCTAACTGAATCTCACGAAATCTTATTGGATATGATTTTTGCTCAATGTCTAAACGACTAGGACAACGTCATCGGCCACTGATAAAAAAGTAATTGATAACGCTTGAAATATGTGGTCAAAACGGTTCATCTCTGATTATAGCTCACCTTGTGTTTTTGACGACTGCCAAACACTGATGAAGCAGATCGTTTAGTACGTTTCCGTTCTTTATTATTGTTATGACTATTAATATTAGTGGGTAATAATTTGTCATGATTATCAGCATCACTCTTCGGACGATTTTTCCAATTATACTTTGGTGAAGTAGAAATAGCCGATATTAATTGATTATGATCTGTCACCTCATTATTATTGGATACTGGGTCAGTAAATGTTAAAGATTGAGAGTGATTGTTATCATTATTAAGTGATTTATTATATTTTCCTCGAACACAACCACTAGCAATACTACAGCTGCCATTACGAGTAGCAGTGTCAATACCGTCAGTATTATCCATATTCATCTTTTCCCAACGATAACGTACAACAACAACTCCACAATTGACAGCAAATACAAGTCCAACTACAGCAAATAGACCAAGTAAAATATACATACTCATTTCTAATGCAGGTCTTGAACTAGTTTTTGCATCGTTAGCCCTGTCATTGTTTCCATTAATACCATTGTAACCACTGTTACTGTTACGACTACCACTCCTGGGATTAATGGATGGTTTATTTTTAATGTCTTGTATTAATTCTTTATTTTCTAAATGATTAGTATTTCCACCACCAACATCAGATAAAATAGACAATCTATCGTCTACATTAATATCATCAGAATTTATAGAAACAGTATTAGATAGCTGAGGGTTTTGTGAATTAGAGATTTTTTCCGAAGACGATGATGGTAATGCTGATGACGATGAAGATGATGAATGCATTGGATGATAATAACCAAGTTTTTGAAATCCAGGAGCATCTTTAAATGCCATAGAACCATGTATATTGCCTTCACTGGTCTTACTTTCCTGTTAGATATAAAACAAACATACCATTTAGATATAATAAAACACTACAGTGTCCATAATTTAACTTACTGTTTTAAAGGATTCATCAGTTGACTTTAATTCGTAAACAAAGTGTTTTAAATTAATGTAGAAGACTTGTAACTCAAACGGATAACTGTTTTCGTATTGGAGTCTCTCATGTGAATGAGTAGATCGATCAGCTTGGATTTTCATTTGGGTTGATAAAATTAATCTCCAAGTCTTATGATATTGATTTGAACAACGATAGATTGTGCTACACTAACAAACTCTATTGAAGTTACACTTAGTACTAAACAGATCGATTATACCATCAATTAATATACGAATTTATAACCGTTAAATAATTTTAAATAGATTTCTTTTGGATTTATCATTATTATTATCAAGGTAGTGCTGCAATTCTACCCCGAGTTAAATGTAATTCCCATCAACAATGTTATAGTCACTAACAGCAAACATCAATAAAACAGGAATATATTAACAACATACAATAATGATAATAATGATAATGATATTCTGTGATTAAATCTTAAATATGAAAGCTCGAAAATGTCAATAAATTCCGATTCCGTTTTAAATTATTGTTAGCACTTATCTCTTAAATGTAAATGAGTTATTTGCCAAGCAAGTCTCAGCAGCAGTAGGTCTCAACATACACAAAGAGAAAAACAAGATACTCCGAAACAACATAGTATGCACCAGTCGATTCACAATTGAAGGAGAAGATTTCGAAGATGTGAAAACCTTTGCATATTTGGGCAGCATCATTGATGAACACAGTGGATCTGATGCAGATGTGAAAGCGCGGATCGGCAAAGCAAGAGCAGCATATTTACAACTCAAGAACATCTGAAACTTAAAACAACTGTCAACCAACACCAAGGTCAGAATTTTCAATACAAATGTCAAGACAGTTCTACTGTGTGGGGTGGAAACCTGGAGAACTATAAAAGCCATCATCCAGAAGATACAAGTGTTTGTTAACAACAGTCTACCCAAAATACTTCGGATCCGTTGACCAGACACTATTAGTAACAACCTACTATGGGAAAGAAGAAACCAGATTCCAGTGGAGGAAGAAATCAGGAAGAAGCACTGGAAGTCGATCGGACACTCATTGAGGAAAGTACTCAACTGTGTCACAAGACAATCCCTTACATAGAGTCCTCAAGGCCAAAAGAAAAGCGGAATACCAATGGGAGATGGAGACAGATATGAGACAAATGAACAAAAATTGGATAGAACTGGAAAGGAAGGCTCAGAACAGTGTGGGTTGGAGAATGTTAGTCGACAGCCTATGCTCCATTAAGAGTAACAGGCGTAAGTAAGTAAGTAAGTATTTGTCAAGAAACCATATAGTGCTTTATTATATCAAATGTTAGATCCTCTGTAAAACATATAATATTACACTGTTTAAGTAACAAGTTTACAGTATATTTTTTGATTGTATCCAATAGTGGAATATAAAATGCCCATTCTGTCTTATTTGAAACATATGAACTAGATTTATCTTTAACTCAGTATTTATGGTCATGTTGAAACAAGAATATAATGCTTTTTGATGGAGTTTTGTTCTCTGAGCTGAATAGTTTGGTTGTTGAGCTTTGATCTTTCTTCTGAATGACATCATCAGCATAAACTTCAGATAACAAAACTTCATCAAAATCATCCATCTGAGCTACAAATGTCCACTACCTCAAAATTATTTAATGCTTATTACTTCTAAAGTAAATGTATTATTCATTAAACTAATGAATTCAGATAGCTAATAGCCTGAAATCTGAAGCTATTATTGAGACATTGACTAAAGACTGAATATATATATAATCAAAGTTTGATCAATAGATATCCTGATTGATGAATATAAGTAGTACTTTTGAAACGATAACTGTATTCAGTGATTGAGGTCGTAGATGTGCACTGCTGAGGAGTCTCACAATAGGACGAAACGGCCATCCAGTGCTTCCAGGTTTTCTATGGTGGTCTAGCTTCAACTGACTCATTATCTTAATCATGGAGATTGAAGTTGTATGAAATCAGTAGTTTTAAATAAATAAAAAAAAAATCTAATTATTTTATATTTACTTGTATAGTTTTTGGATTAAATTCATAATGATCGTTACTTTCTAAGTATTCATTCATAGATAAACTATTTTTAGGAGTTATTATTTCACCACGAATACGAACATGTGGAACTAGAAGATTTCCACTTGGTGATGTTAGTCCAACTTCTAATATATCACCTAATTAAAAGAAGGAAAAAAAATGGGTTGATAAATGGGTTGAATAACTTATGATAGAACATATGTGTGACAATCGATAAGTAGCACAAAATTTAGGTTTTGTGAAGATTGATATTCATAAGGAATATAAATTTGAAACGTTGAAAGAATTAAATTCATTTGATATTGTTTACTTAAATCTTTCGATTGATGTGTTAGGACTGCAATGGATCAGTCTCTTATTGGTATATGTGCATACTATGCGTATTGTCTCGATATTGACTTAATTCGCAAACATTATAAGATTCAAGTAAACAATGACAAGTGAATTTAAACTTCACCTCATTGCAGAAGCAAGTGACTATCAAGACTCAGTAGGTAAGTGGATAAAGCGATGGCGTTTAAAGTGAACGGTACTGCGTTCGAGTCTTCGAGTGAATAATAACTCTGAGATGCAGGTACATCCAGCTGACGGGTCCCAAGTAGGACGAAACGCGCATCATAATTGGATTCTACTGCTAGCCACTATCCATCTTTGCTTATAATGATTAAAAGAATTTTTATGTATGAGACTTAACTGAATATATCTATATAAAGAATTCGTGTGGAGTATGTGATTATTGGTTTGACAAGTTACCATATGTGATTACAATACAAATCAAAAGTTAACTTTTATTAACTTTTAAAATATTTTGTGATTACAAAAAAAATATATTCCTTCTTTTATTTATTTCGAAATTCACTTCCCAATACGCATCACAAGATAATTACAACCTTATTAATAATGATAAAAACGCTATACCCATTGCAAAAGCTAAGGACTATCTGAAACTCAATAGATTAATGGATAACCCGTTTGATTGTTGAAGCATTAGGTACTAGGTTCATATCACAGAACAAACATCAATACGTGGTACGAATATACTCAACTGATGAGTCTTAAATGAGACGAAAAATATCTGCTGAATTTCGTTGCTAATTACATTCCATCTATTCTGTAGAAAAAAAAAGATTGATTCTTTTATCATTAATCATATTTTTATAGCATACACATTCGAAGTTAATGTGATAATCCTGTTTGGTATTTATAGTTTACTGAGGAATAAACATGATAAAAAATCAATCGATTTTATTGACTTGATTGTAACAGTTTTACCATGAAAATTTTAATTAATATTCCATCATGGAATAAAAGATAACAAGAACAAACATTGAAACAGAGTAACAAAATGGATTCATTTTATTCCATTATGTTCTCATCAGCTGTTTACAATCTATCATCCTTTAAAATCAAAGTTATCACAGATATTGACATACTTATACATAAGAGCGAGATTAATGGATGAATATATGTGTATCATGATGTAGCGAAGATTCCGATAAAGTTGATGAGGTCACATAAGTTTTTTTGTTTCAGATAAGTAAATAAAGTTTGAGAGAAAAAGTTACAGAACATCGAACTAACGATTAGAGTCAGCAAACATTCGATGATTATGTAATGAAGTAACTGAAAATAGATTAATGGTAATAAAGAAAGATATAAATTGAAATAAGTCAGTTATGAATTGAAGAAAGAAATGTTAATGATATAATTTAAACTTGAGAAAGAGTTGAAATAATGAATGACGTAATAAATAGAAAGGTTTGATATTATCAGGGCAAAGAAAGATTCATTACTGTCTCCTTTTCGATACATAGATCTGGTTTTCAACGTTTGAATGCAATCGCATCAGTAAATTTCGAAAGGTTGAAGTTTGATTGTTTGTTAATCAACTTGAAAGACTTCAGTGTATTGACTACATGTCCTGTATTAAGGAGATGTCTTGTGATGGCACGGCTGAATGTTTCTAATCCATTAGATTTTAAAGTTTCCAGAATATGTTCTTTGAATCGGACGTAGGTTCTGCTTTCTGTTCTACCAATGTAACTACTTTAACAGATACATGTGAATTTATATACACAATTGATAGTAACATGAAACGGATACCCACAGATATTTGATTATGTCAAACGACATGTTGTTTTGGACAGGACAAATAATTTATCTGCAGTATAAGTTCTTGTGTATGGAATAAAAGATACTAAGATATTTATACAATGTAGACAAGTATATTGATTTAAAGTTTAGTATACATGGTGTACAGCTCCATTAGCTATAGGGTAGATTTTATTTAAAAATTCATTTTTCAGCATGTTTGAACTAATGTTCATGAACTAACCTAGATACAATTTTAAAAGGTCAAGAATGTGTCAAAAGTAAGAACATAGCTGATATACCAGGGAATAACTGAAGAATAACATTCTTCATAAATGCACATGAATAACAAATTGAGATGATCGGTCAAGAATCTTCACAAAACAATCTTATCAAGGACTCATGACTATTGTTTTAATATAAATAACTTTATTGCCTTTAAAGAATATCCTTACCAGAAAATTTGATTTTTCTGTGAAGTAACCATACTATTGGACCAGACCAATAATTACTTGCATTAATTAATGTTATGTTCTTTACGATTCCATTACGTAACATATTACTGTATATTTGTTGATTACGTGTTATAGAATGATCACCAGTTCGAAGTAAATGTGGTTTCATACGTACTGAACGACGAGATAATCCACGAAATCGATTATTATTTTGTCGAATAAATGAAGATTTCGATAAAATTTGAGAAGATTCTGATGAGAAAAAATTTGAAGTTCGCGATATTCCTCTTATAGAACGTTGTTTTCTTTCTACTAATCCAGGTGAACTAGTTTCAATCCAGAATAAATCAGGTCGACAATTTTTAATTGATAAACTCATTGGAATCTTATCCTTTCCATATAGTTGTTCATAAATCTAAAGAAATGAAGTGATGAGAAATGTATGACTTGGCTTTTTTTTTTCTGAAATGTCCACATATTATTTTAACTATAAACAATAAAACAACTATACAAGTCTATCATCTCAGTATATAATGGTTACCGATACTGTTCCTATTGAATTGAATTACTCATTGATGAATTTAGGTGAAATGATTTAGAATTTGTTGTGGTGACATGGGTCTTATTTCAAATATTATTTGTAACTAATGTATTTTAAAAATTAAAATTCACGATCTAATAAAAGACCAACAATGAATCAATCTGCTTCACTGTGTTTGATTTTGAGCCATGTCAGTAAACATTACCAATCAACATATTGATCTTCGTTATCTTAAAAACTAACCAGGTTGTTTTCATTAATGGATTGGTCTTACGTTTAGGGTTTAGTCCTCCTTAAACTTCTTCCAACTTACTTCTATACAAGTCAAGAATATAAATTGGAGTAAGTAGTGGTTAGTCATAAACAAAACAAAACCTATTTACTTTGATAGACTGATCATTCAATTTACTATCCTCATTAAAGCATCTCATTAAACACTAGATTTCTCATTCAATCATTCCACAATACTCACAAATCATGTATTATAATCAGAGAGTATTATAAAATAGGACTACTGTACAGTATATTCTCTACAAAAATGTAAGTCATAGCAACTCATGTGCAATTGAGTTTATTCACATTTAATTTACTTAAGCTCTTTTGTTAACTTATTTAAAGGATAAAATCATTCGTACAATAACAAGTTATTTATATTATTTTACCTATATGATTGTTTTACTTCAATGAATATGTATACTTGAGCATTGTTTACTACTTACGCATATATTCATTCTACTAGCTTTATTATTAATCGTTTAATTTATTCGATGATTTATTTCTTTCGCTTGTCTACTTGCTTTTCAGCACTACTCTATCATGCTTGTTTAGCTAGCTTACCTGTAAGTTTTTGTTATCTGTGCATGATGCGATAATCAACTTAATCAATACTTCATATTCACCTTCTGAATAATACACCATTAGGGCGTTATCTAGTGACGATTAACAGGACGAACTGTATACGAAGTTTAAGGATTTTATAAATGAGTAATGTTTGGTTTTATTATTGTTCTTTGATAGATTACAATATTTCATTAGAACAAATTTATACAAACTAAACTCAACCAAAAAATATTATGACAAATTTGTTAATATTCATTTTTCATTTACTTTTTTTTCTACAATCCTTCTTTTTTCAATTTTAATTCTTTCCCTGAGTACAAGTTCAATTGATATAAAATAGTCAATTATATCAATTTTGTGAATATTAAAACAGAAGGGGTTTGAGGAGATTTTAGAAATTTCACCGATTGAAATCATGAGTCATTTGAAGCTAGACCAACATGGGAAACCTGGGAGCACTGAACGGCCGTCTCGTCCTAGTATGGGACTCCCCAACAGTGCGCATCCACTATCCCGCACCTCGCGAGATCCAAACTCTGGACCTATCAGTTTCGTGCCAAGCGCTTAACCAACTAGACCACTGAGCCGGCATCCAACGGTGTTAATGTCTAACTTCAACCAATCCACGACGTTGTGCCACCGTATACCATTGTCTCCAGTGAGCTGATATCTCACAACAGACCTGGTTGAACTCCACTGGTAACGAAACGGGCGTTCAGTGCTTCTAGGTTTTCCATGGTGGTCTAGCTACAATTGACTCATGATTTCAATCTGCCAAATATTAAAACAAACAAAATATCTTACTGATCATTGATGGCTACCAATACAATCCAGTTTGACACACTTTTCGTCCTATTTGGGACTCTCCAGCTGGATATACCTGCATCTCAGAGTTGATGCTCACTTCGGGATTCAAACACACGACTCAGTAGCTATGTGGACAAGGCATTGGCGTTTGAATCGGACGGCACTGTGTTCGAGTCCCAGGGTGAACATCAACTCTGAGATGCAGGTACAACCAGGTGACAAGTCCCAAATAGGACGAAACGCATGCCAAATTGTAGTCCACTTACTAGCCACTATCCGTTTGTCCTTATGAAGCTTGTGACTTAAAGCTATATCGAAGCAATCCGTATAGGATGTACATATGCTAACAAGAGATTGATCAATTTCAGTCCTAAATAACGATGGGAGGATAATGAAAGATGGATAGTGGCTAGCAGTGAAATCCATCACTCAGCTGGATGCACCTACATCTCAGAGTTGGTGTTCATTTCGGGACTCGAACCCAGAATCGTTCGCTTCAAATGCCATCGCGTTATCCACTTAACTACTAAGTCCTGACAGCCACCTGCTTGTGCAATGGGGTGAAGTTTAATACAAGTATAATAATAATAATAATAATAATATATCTATATATAATTGTTTCTATCATTACAATTAATTCTTATATACAATTTCTTTCATCAAAAATAAATGTTAAATTTATTCTTTTTTTTCCTCCTTTTTATCTATCAGTCATCATTTGATTGGTTGATCAATCCGTTTATTATTGATCGTAGATTTAATTAAATTGAAACCAATTTTGATATAGAAAAAAATATAAGTCAGAACAATGAAAAAAAATTTTTGTTGTAAATATTTGGATGATAAAAATTAGTTTTTCGGTCAATTGTATCTATGAATGTTGTTGTTGCTGTTGGTGATGATGATTAAGTTGTTAAATTGAAAATATATATCAGAAGAGGTTTTGTGGAGATTGTAGTAATTTCAACAGTTGAGATCATGAGTTAATTGAAGCTAGACCACCATAGAAACCAGGAAGCATTGGACGACCGCTTCGTCCTATTGTTGGACTCCTCAGCAGTGGGCACTCATGACCCAGCCTAGTGGGATTCGAACCCAGGACCTATCAGTCTCGCTGCGGGCGCTTAACCAACTAGACCAATGAACCGGCATCCAACGGTGTTAATGTCTAACTTCAACTAATCAGCGAAATTGAGCGACACATCCACCATTGTCATCAGTGTGTTACTACCTCACAACTGACCCGATTGACTCATGATTTCAACTGTTGAAATTATATAAACAAAACTGTTTAACCGATAGGTTTTAAGATCTTGGATGAGCACTGTTGAGGAGTCCCAAATTAGGACAAAACGGCAATCCAGTGCTTCCAGGTTTCCCATGACGGTTTAGTTTAGATCCATTCATGAATTCAATTATTAATATCTAGTAATATCTACAAAACCTCTCTCTGTGATTTTATTCATTTATTTAACTTTTTAAAAATTTCAAGTAGTATGTGGTGTATGAGCTGATTGATTTGTTTTTTATATGGTAACATTTGTTAAAGACTGATTTGATTAAGAGTATAACTAAAGATCAAGTAATACAAGATAAATTTTTCATTCTAGTATGGCGCTTCTTGGCAGTATACATTCAAGACAATGTCATGTAAAAACCCAGGATTTTCAGCTGTGAATGCTTAACCGTTTAAACTACTTGGATGACTTCTTTTAGTCGAAACCTAGCTTTAACCAAACCAATGGTGAATACATTGTCACTTGTAATATGTCTGAACTCCATCCGCTACTACCTCTTTCTCGAAATTCTTGAACATCTTGAAAGAAGCTACTAGTTTATTTGTAGAAATTCTTTGGATATGCTTTAGTTTATTAGTTGTAATACTAATTTAAATAGTCTACTTATTATAGCTTTATATGACAATAAGACTGAATATAATTATCTTAATAACATAATTTCAAGCATTATAACTAGAAGGCGTCTATGTGAAAGATGGAAAATTTTCATTCAAGCATAAAACATCATTATATAAACATAAATAATGACTAATGACTGTATATTTTGCATAGTATAGTAACATGTGCCATTTCAGTTCCTGTGTAATTTTAGTGTAATATACATAACTCAAAAGAGCTATTTTATCTGGTACTATTGTATGTTATATCTTTTGTTTTATCTGATACATCTATCTTTTACTAAATGCCAATGAGTTGTTTTATCTAATGAAGTATGTCACTTGATAGTTTCATTGTAATCATCTGTTATATTTCTGGAACCGACGATTGGGCTTTATATAACTTATACAATACAACAAAACAACAAAATAGAAATAAAAGAAAGTTATGCAAACTTAAGACTGACTAAAAACTAAAATAAAATTTTTCTATTAAAGTCAGTATTCATGAAAAATATCTTGATCAAGTTGCCATGTTAACACAGGTCTACGGAACCAGATATCATATAAATTATGCTTTGATTTTAAATGATTTAAAAAAATTGACAAAAAAAACGATAACTCCGTCTGTAGCTGTTCTAGAGTTATTGCCGATCTTAAGCCCGGGTAAAGGAGGAGGGTTGGGCATAGATTTAGGGTCCCCATCCCGTGGAGAACTAACTCGTTAACTTGCTAAAAATTGATACTAATCAACAAAGTTTGATTATCCAAAATTAGTGAATTTATTTCCAGTATAATTCAAATACCCGTCTTGTTTTATGGTTAGATAATAATTATAATTTTCTGAATCTTTAATGCTTAATGAATCGAAATAAATCACTTATACTTTATATTAGAGTTTTATCTGCAGAAATTATACTTCACATTTATTAAGTACCGCAGAATATAGATCATTATGAAGCATCATTTTTCATGGTCAGGAAGATAATATCAAGGTATTGTTTCCAAATTAATTTTTAAAACATTAAACCGATTTCGTTTTGAAATCTCATTGTCTTATGCTACTCAAAGTAAAAAGTTCTCTTTGATAACCATAAGTTAAAATAATAATGATCAAACCATCAAGATTATGTTATATGAAACAAATAGTTTTTAGAATTAATTTATCAATCGTTTTCTCTATATGTAAATGGTCATATTAACTAATTGTATAGAGAGTAGTATATTAAATGTCAAGATAACAGATATTTGGAAAGGTCTGGACGTTAAGCGATGGGTTTTCGTGCACAGGTTACAGATCGTTGAGGATTTTGGGATATCGTTATTTATCAGCCAAAAACAACAACACACGACAATATTCGTAATGCTTGTGCTTGTTACATAACTTTTATTTTAGTTCATTAATAATTTGACGTATTTGTTGCTTACAACCAGGGTGAATGTTTAGTCAGCCTAATGTGGTTATTTGTAACAATGCGAACTCCGGCAAGTAAAATTCATCATGATGAACTATACAGTTTATGTTTCGTAATTGATCGAGCTAGTCTGGAAGATTTCATCTTCTTATATATGCCAGAAGCACATGACGGCAAAGACACCGGCATGTCCCAATTTATCCACGATTCAGGTTACATCTTTTCGCAATACGTTTTGCTTCCAGGCAAACAGAACAAGACGCATCCAACCAAAATTATTCCCAAAATGGAGAGATTGGGAAGTTATGAAGCAATAATCGATCTAACGTGTGCACTACAAGACAGTGAGTTAAATCAATGTTCTTCGAAATGATTTTATGGTTTTGCTGCAGCAAATGACCACTTAAATATGAGAACACCTGGCATTCATGAAACTCAACAGACACCTAACAAACCCACACTATTTGAAATACGGAATAACCTCCTTTTATGAGGCCATTCAAGGTCGTTGAAACGAAACGGCGGGCAGATTTGAAAGGGTCTAATGGTTTTCCCGTGCTCAGACATTTATTACATTGTAGTACACTTCCGTTAAGTACTTTTAAGAAGAACAAAAATTACTAGCACAGTAATTAATTGTAATATTTATGTAAATGACATACCTCAGTCATTCGATTCCATAAAATAGATGAACCATCAGATAAATGTATCCATACAATAAGAAATCCAATAGGATTACCCATTGTAATTGTATTTAATTGATTTGTTTTATTATTCAAATTATAATTATCATTATTATTAGATAATATTGACATTTTTCTATGTGTATTTATATTTGGTTGATTAAATTCTGAATTAATTGATCCACTATGAGTTAATTTACTACCTTTTAATTCAATTTTAAGTGAATAAACACCAGATAGAATTGGCATACGTTCTGTAGATGATGATAAGAATAAATTATCATTATTATTATTATTATTATCAATATTATTATTATTACTATTTGAAGATGATAAAGTTGAACTTGTTCTTTGATGTGTATCATCCATACCAGATGAATGACTAACAGAGATAGAGAAATCTATCAAAAAAGAAAAAGGATAATTCATATATTAGTGAATAGATTTTATATACGAAATGAATTTTAGTATTTTTTTATCCGGTGAATTCACGAGTCAATCTAAAATAGATTATCATTGAAAACTTGGAAGCACTGGACGACTGTTTCATCTTAGTATGATACTGCTCGATAGTGCACATCCAAGATTTCACACACAGGAATCGTAATCAGGACTTATAGTCTCGTGTGAACACTTAACCTTCAAACCATTGAACTGGATCGACTAAATTTGAGCATTAACACCGTTATATGCCGACTCAGTGGTGTTAAAACAGTAACATGGTTTACGTAAGTAGTTAAAAGATTATATTCTTACACAATAAAAACATCCATATATATTAAAGAGGATAAACTAACGAATGATCAAGTAATTAGTAAATTGATACTTCTTGTTCATAAGAATCCCATTGATATGTTTAATAAAGTTTTCATAAATGATCATAATTTACATCCTCTCTGTTGTCACAATATATATGAATTCATGAATTTTAAGTGATAACAAACTCATTGGTAGATTTTATTCAAAAAATCCATTTAGTCATTTCAATAATGAATATATCTTACCAATGAGAAATGACTAAACACAATGAAATTCACGCTGTTACACTTCAATTCTATGTTTAATTTATGCTACTTATAATAACTAACTTGGAATCCTGAAGGGAAGCAGAAAAGAGGAAGGCCAAAGGATACGTTACGTCGGGAAATAGAATCAGATATGAAAAGGATAAATATTAAATAGAAAGAGCTGGAAAGAAATGCCCAGGACAGGGTTGGATGGCGAATGCTGGTGAGCGGCTAATGCTCCTTCACGAGGAGTAGTAACAGGCTTAAGTAAGTATAATAAAAATAGAACAGTTTGAAAGATATTTGTAGTTTGGTTGTTCAATTAGTATCTTTTTTGTCTAAGTATACATATACCGTTGGTAAGTACGAAAAGAAAGGTCCCTGGAATTATCTTAAATACTCAATATTCAGGAGTAAATAGTTAGAATAACACAGCTTTCCATGTAGTATTCTGTTGATTATAAATAATACTTAAGAAAAGATCACATAACACTAAGTATTTACCCGTATACAGTAGGTGCCCAAATTCGAAATATAACTGAATAATAAACCTGACATTAATATCTAAGGTCTTCTGATAATTCTACTATAAAACAGACATTCGTAAATGGACCAAAATTAACTTCAATTTCTATAGACAGTGTTTTATTGATAGAATAATACAAACTAATGATGGCATCTATCACTAAGTTCTAATGAAAATATTTGAATAATGGATTAGTTCAATGAGCGAAACAAGAACTCACTGATAATAATTCTGAGAGTTTAGCTATTTCATCAATAAATTCAGTCAGTCAGTTACAACGTACGACCAGGCACATATATGCATTGGTCCAAGTTGTCACACCTCATTAGCACAGTAAGACAAACAGTGGATTCATAGAATCAGTTAACTCAATGGTGTGTTGTTTTATATCTCTGAGATGTTCTAAAGTAAGATAAAATTTATTTTTTCATTGTTCAATAATATTTTAATTGTTACATAGTTGATATTCGTTTGGGGAAAAAAACGATGCTTATTGTTCATTTACTCAATATTTCATATAACAAGAACACTTCAATAAATAAAATAAATTAACGGAAGAATAAACAACTAATCGAAATTAATAATGAACTATACAGATACATTCTAGTTATGACTTCAATAATATGAATCAATGAAATATATTATGCATTTTTCACCTTATATATAAGTGAATTATTATTAGTATCAAAAAGGGTTTTGTGGAGATTGTAGTAATTTCAACAGTTGTGATCATGAGTCAATTGAAGCTGGACCACGATTGAAAACCCGGAAGCACTGGATGACCGTTTCATCATACTTTGGGACTCCTCAGCTGTGTGTATTCACGATGCTGCCTCGCGCGAGAACGATAGGTCCTGAGTTCGAATCCCACCAGGCGAGGTCGTGGATCCGCACTGCTGAGGAGTTCCATAATAGGACGAAACGGCCGTCCAGTACTTCCAAGTTTTCCGTGGTCGTCTAACTTCAATTGACTCATGATCTTAACCAATGAACTTACTATTACATTGAAAATTCATACTTAAAACAAAAAAACACATTGCGATCTTTGTACACTGAATTAACACGAAAGAATGAAAGCGTAACAAAACAAATACACCATCGTATCTCTGAACATTAATCCTTATGGTTAATCGAATAATTGACCAAATCAATAATAAGCATGATTTGATTTAATTATTTAGTCGATACTAATTACATCATCAATACAAATTTAACTTTCAAGTTTGCTTAATAAATTTCAACGAATTTGACCTATACTTTTAGAATTCATCTTCAAAATATAGTGATAAAGCAATAGGAATACCAATTACTTACTTACTTACGCCTGTTACTCCCAATGGAGACAATGGAATACCAAATATTAACATTTTCGTACAGCCACTTAATTTACCTTTAATCTTCTGTTTAGTTACTGTTATGTCATGCAGAAATTTTCAATCTTCTGATTGTTTAATGTTTTCTAAACTCATTTTAACTAATTACCTACAATCAATTTCACTCGTAACTCAAACGTTGTCCAGTGAACTTGATTGGGTTTTCTAGAAATCGTTTCTATTCCTCATCGCTCAAAAACCCACCATGTGGATGTAATTTTGACGGAAATTGTTACTTTCAGGTCTCGGTGAGCGGGCGTCATACCCTGAGCATGTTTGGTCTACATGCATACCGGTAACCCAAAAGTTCTCACCTGTTCATCCTTTGGTATACATAAAGGTATAATTAACCTGATGGTAAATATACATTACATCCACACCAGAAACACACGAGTTTTCATTCATTCAATATGTAGCACATACAGATATATTCATCCAACTGTAAGGGTAGATGGTCACTGCTGCCTGAGGACGTATTTGATACAACGCATTACATGCATATCACTGTTACGATGGCTTTCGCATCTGCACTTCATGACATACAATTGAGCATAAGCACTTTTTCAAGGAAACTTGATGATCACCTATCTGAATTATTTGCTGCCATGTATTTTCATTATATCCTCGATCTGAAAGACAGAAATATTTCAGCCTACGTTTTTGTGCTAACTCACGAGTCTACCCATAGCATATACCTACATAAATAAACCACACTAGTCCAGACTGATGTAATTCATGTACATAATCATACATATCAGGTAGCCCAAAAAGACTTTTAGACAGCCTCGAGAATAGAAACCGTTTAATCTGATTTACAGCTGAGTGATGGATTAGTTCGATCTCTGTTGACTGTCTAAGATAGCTAACAAAGTTGACCCTACTACCCAATAGCTCCGCGAGGAGGCCCTAAGTTGGATTTTATTTTCACTTCAATGGTAATATATATATGCGTCGTTGGATGCCGCTCAGTGATCCAGAAACTGAGCGTTCACGCAAGAGAACAGAGATCCTGGGTCTGATCCTTGAGTTAGATGTTCCAGATACAAACCGCTGAGGATTCCCACCCTTAATGGGGTGAAATCGTCATCCAGTGTCTTATATCCGAACGAGAATAAATAAATAATAACCATTAGGAATTATTTATGAACTAATATTGTATGTATATTCTTATTGTGTAACTCTTAAGGAACTATATTATATGTATATTCATATTCCTTTCATCATAAGCTTTTATTTAACCTGTTGACTGTTATCATATAATTCACTATTGTTGAAATATTCCTAATTTATTAATAACAGTCACTTTTTGGCTTCATCTTGTATAATTGTTATTTTCTATTCATAATTTGATGCTGTCTGGTTTATTTATATATAAACCCAGTATGTCTAAAATATATGATTTGTATTGCGGAGGCTGATATTGACATTCCGGACTAAATTGGCTGGGTTTGAAGAGAAGATATTACAGTGAGACTATAATTTATGAACGACATTTAGGCGACGCTAGACTGACTTCTAGAGTGTTCACCTAATAACCAGAACCGAATGAGGGTTATAAAGCTGATTGAGGAATTAGAATTATGATTTACAGTCAATGGTTAAGGTCAAGAAGTAGGTTTAAGATTCTCATCACGAACCGACAGCTATAACGCTAAAACTCTATTTAACTAATTGGGTGAATGAATTTTTCGCAAAAATTCAAGACTTGTTATCCCAAATTGGATTGGTTTGTCCATAAATAAATTATAATTTCACCGATATTACTCTCAGTGAACCAATAAGAACTCTAGGGTATTCGTGTCGATTTAGACGTCATTATTCTGATCGTATAAATTGGTATCTCTAGTAAACTGTCATATCACATGAGTTGATTAATCGAGCATAAGGAAATAATACATTAATCTCAACTTTTCGGTAATAATCTATCTAAGATCATTTTATAATCTCAACTATGAAAATATAATACAAACATTACAATGGATCTAAACATATTCTCCAAATTTTTTTTATATCTCATAATCACAACTGATTGATCACTGGGTGGTCGGTGATCAATTTCATGTATGTCAAGTCCTTCCTAGTGCAGATCGAATGCTATCGAACATGTTGCAATGTGGCCGCCAGTCTAGGTGGCTCAACACTGTATGCACTATGTTGAAATTAGGTGGTGGTTGGAGGTAGTCGACAGGTAACCCTGGACCCGGGTTTCGTGCTACTTGGCACTCGTCAACAAATTGTGCTTGTATCCTTGAGGTAACTGGTGCCTCCTGACGGATTCGATTCCGTGTCACCCAGCTTCACAATCAGAGACGTTACCACTAAGCTATCCAGGCCGCAACCGAGTGCCAAGTAACACGAAACCTGGGTTTTCTGTCGACTACTTCCAACCACCATTTAATTTTATATCTCATCCTAAGATAATAAAAACAAAACAGATTCTATAAACTAACCTGTTACTAATTGTGCAGATAATCCAACAGGCCATATACTTGTTTCATCTGTAACATGAACAGTTATACTTGGCTCTTTAAATTGTTCATCATTTTTTAATAATAATGATTGATTATCATTATGTAATTGTATTGATGTATGATCTTTTAATTGTTTTATTAAACCTGGCGGTATAAATGTATTTAATAAATTTCTATTAATTGGTGATAAATATAATTTAACATTACCAATATATTGTCCAATAATCCATACACGTAATGGTTTAATAAATTGATTTGAATTGAATGATGATAATGATGAAGATAATGTAGAAGATAATTGATTGGTTAATTTCTGATTATAATGATTACCTAATTTAATTAAACGTATTGGTAATTGATAATGATTATTGATTGATTGATTTATATTGATTAAATAATTTTCATTGGAATTTTTTAATAAATGATTATTGATTAAATTTTCATGAATATATTCTAAACGTAAACGATGTATTGTAAATTCAGTGACATCAACATATTGATTAATACGTCCACCAAGTACATCTTTATCATGTAAAACAGAACTAGCTAAAATAAACCTTTTTAAAAGAAAAGAAAAAGTAAAAAAAATGGAGAAATAATTAAGAAAAGGTATTATATTTAATTTAAACGCAAAGAGGCATAAGTCACTTGATTTATGTAAGAGCTAGACTATTGTTCAAATGCCCAAATCGAAGTAATTGGTTTAATTAAGGAGCTATACTCGGAAAATTTGACCTAAAGATCGGATACATAAGGTATTGGAGCAAAGTAAGGAGATGCAGTGCTATGATAGCCATTTGTTCCTTCAGGATACTGGAGCCCATGTATTCGATTGGTTTGAAATCAGGGTATTCCAACTTCCGTAGGTGAACTCTTCGTTTTCATCAAACCGATTAAAGAGCCGGATATTCGCTTTTTGTCCTCTAAGTTTCGTAAGCAACACTCTCACCACGAGGAGGCAGTGCGTAGGACTTAGAACTGGCAGTGGTTGTATGTACGTGGATACGTGAGGACAAATTAAAAATAAATAAAAAGTATTTTAAAAAATATGTGAATATTTTTGTTGTTGTTATAATGAAGAATCATGTGTAAAAAATAAACATATTGTGAAAAACATCTGTTTACATTTACTATACAAGGATTATCTTAAAAGTTTAGTTATTACATTAAGTATAACTCAATAGTGACTAGCTTCGAGAGGTATTTCCTGCAGTTCTAGTGAGAAGTAGTGACTAGCGAAGTCCAACTGGGTCAGTTGTGAGATTGTAACTCACTGAAGACAACGGTGAATGTGTCACCCAATTTCTTGGATTGGTCAAAGCTAGACATTAACATAGTTGGATGCCGACCAACTCGCTGGTCTAGAGGTTAAGTGTTGGCGCGCGAGACTAATAGGTCCTGATTTCAAATCTCGCGAGGCACGATCATGGATGCTCACTGCTGAGGAGTCAACCTGTGATTTCGTAACATATCTAAGTAGTTTTTTTTATTATGAGTAAGTAAAGTATGTGAAATAATTTTTTAAATGATATTTCAACGAGTTCATGATAATTTATATTTAGGAGATAAAGGTATTTACACATTTATTGATAACCTTTAACTACTGGAGACTTCTGGAAACATAGCAAATTTAACTACAGATTAAATAATCATTAAATCAATGTAACCAATATCAAAGTGAGAATCTTCAATACCAACGTCAAGGCAGTTCTACTGCATGGAGCTGAAACTTGGAGAACTACAACAACCACAATTAAGAAAGTACAAGTATTTATAAATAGCTGTCTACGTAAGATACTCAACATCCATTGGCCGGATATCAGCAACATCTTTTTGTGGGAGAGAACAAACCAGCTCTCAGCTGAAGAAGAAATTAGGAAAAGACGATGTGAATGGATAGGACATACATTACGCAAATCGTCAAACTGCATCACGAGGCAAGCCCTAACTTGGAATTCCGAAGGGAAGCGAAAAAGAGGAAGGCCAAAGAACACATTGCGTCGGATAATAGAAGCAGATATGAAAACGATGAATAACAACTGGACGGAGCTAGAAAGGATTGCCCAGGACAGGGTTGGATGGAGAATGCTGGTGAGCGGCCTATGCTCCTTCACGAGGAGTAACAGGCGTAAGTAAGTAAGTAATGTAACGCATAATTCATGGAAATTTTAAGAGTTTAAAATGTTCTTTCTACTAGCTTCTAAAGACTTTCAGCGATTTCAACTATTTCTGAGTTAAGCCAATTTATGGTACAATAAATTACACATTGTATAGTGTGTCTTCAAAAAGTATCTATTTGATGACTATAAAAATCTTTATATCTAATTCCTGTACGGATTTTAAATCATTTTCGTTGTAAACTAATTTTTTTAAATAAAAAAGACCATTGAATTTAATGTGAATTTCTATGTGTGGTTACTATGGTTACTATTGCTTTTTTACATTTGAAAATAATATGTATTTCAATCACGAACTGATATCGGTTCAAAATAAAAACAAAAAAAGAATAGTTTAGCCAACATTTTTATCTGAGTTTTAGACTTTTCAATGACTAAACTAATAATCCAGATTAAAGTAGTTGTGTATGTTGACCTTTTCACTTCTCTTAGAAGTTGTCAGTTCTGATACATTAGCATGTATTGAAATCTAGACATTAATTTAGAAACTCGGTGAGCTTTGATTAACTTTTATTGGCGCAAATGTATTCAAGCTTAGTTGTAAAGTACTAATACTTTGCAAATAATCTTATCTATAACTAATCTTTTCTACTGATACTGATGCTATTACTGATATTTATTTCGATAATTTCATTTGATTCTTCTGATGGACTGTGACATTTTGAACAGATGCATACTGTTATGACTTTAAGTTCGATTAATTATCACCTGACTTATTGACCAATCGGAATACAACTTATACTATTTTAGCACTGTGCCGAACCAATGACGTTCGACCACTATGAGCAGGCTAACTTTCTTAATGGTCATTTGTCCTCTTAGCCTATCAAGTTGAGTCCAGAACGCCAATAACAGCTTCTACTATACGAATAATTTATTTCAAATATACTTGGTTTATATACCAGCCAAAAAGATCGCATCACACTTTAAAATAGGAAATAACATTTATCCAAGATCAAGTTAAAAAGTGGCTATGAACGTGGAAGACTGTAATCAATAAACTGAACATAGATTACGAACAGTAAAACGTATAATAATGATCTTTGAATCAAAACGGAGCTTATAATAATAGGAATATAGATATACATAATCTGGTTACTGATTAGTTATACAATAAGAAAAAAATATATGATATTGGTTCATTAATAGTTCTCAGAAGTCACCTGTAATTTATTCATCACTAGGATACAACACATACATTTGCCAAATTCTACATTATTGACTGCTCGACTAACTTGTGAATTTCATTTTTTGTACGGGATCAAATTTAAAACAAAAAAATAGTATAACATTAAAACAAACTAAACAATATCGATATCACTTTTATGAATGGTGTAAAATAAAATTCCCTTCAACGATTATACAAAAACTGAACAACTATGTAAATTGACATATTTCTGAACAATTGAATTATTAATGAACTAGGTTTCTGACACTAAACACAAAATGTATTAGTATTAGAAGCGGTTTATGTAGTGACTGTAGTAATTTAAATAATTGAGATCATGATTCAATTGAAGCTAGATCAACATGGAAAACCTGGAAGCACTGGATGATCATTTCGTCTAATTATGGGACTCCTCAGTAGTGCGCATCCACGACTGATAGGTCTTGGGTTCAGTTTGTAATAATTCAAGAACGAAAATATTTTTCATTATGTTTTGATAAATGATATTATTTCATAATCTTGGATATACTACTTTCGTACTTCCATTGACGAATAACTGCGTCTAGACCTGATTTTTCAAGACTAACTCAGCTGTACATACAGTTGATGAAATTCATCATTAAATCTAGAGATTTATTTGGTTTCTATTTAATGAACATCTCACTAAACAGTGAACTTTGAAATCTGATATGTACTTTATTCAATTTGATAGTATCCTAAACTGATTTCATACTAAATTATCACTTATGGAAATAAAACTATATTCAAATTATAACAATCTCTTTGTACAAAGTACATATGCAAATAGAAGGTTTAATTACATATGCAACATACAAAACTTATTTAGTGATATCTAAAAAAATAAGTTAATACATTAGCATATAACTTATGTCTAAGGTTTCTTACTGACTATCTCGAATCGCTTAACATCGAAATATAGGGCATATGATGTCAAGTCAATTACACTAAGAATCACATTGCAACATGATCGTAGTAAAAATTCGAATAACATCGCATTAATCATTATTTAGTGGCTAAATACTATAAAAATAATTCATTTCAACAAGAGGTCATTTTAAGCACTCTTAACTTGCGGATAAAATCATAGATTATGAAACTAGACACCCCCAACTTCTAATCACATATGAAGGAAGATTTTAAATACGTCTTATTACCAAATACCATTGAGTATGAAACCTAAAATCAAGGTATCTTACATTTTCTATCCAACCACATAGAAATATCTAAGAAAAATAAAAACAACCTACTGATATACATTCAAATCCGTTTTTAGATCAAAGTTTTTTTTTTTCAAGCATTAGGATCCATATTCTTTGATCTATTTTTCATAAGATAACTCATCCTTTAGACATAATATTACTTTTAGTATTATTCTATCCTATCTCTTATGTTTGATTATTCTTGTCAGAAATAGAAATAAACAACGAACTGTCAAACAGATTTTTTTAAAAAAAAGAAGAAAGAATTCATTCAAGAAAGTTAAAAGATGAATTAATATTAATCGATAGATTTAGAAGTAGACATTCGATATGTATGCTTGTCATTTTAGTCGTTATGTGGTATATATATATATAGGCAGTGAATCTATGTAGTCAACATCGAGGTTGGCATAAACCAATACAAATTTCTTGCCTCTATACGCCATTTCTACTCATCAAATTTAAAATTATGCCTAGTTTGTATAGTTGGATATTTATGTGTGTATATGTGCGTGAGAGAGAAATTTAAAGAGTTACTTATTATTATTATTATAGTTACTACTGTTATTATTATTATTATTATTATTATTATTATTATAACTGTTCTATATTACTATGGAGCAAGTAGAAGAGTAACAAATCAATGAATTGATGAATAGTTATCGATAAATGTGTATATATATATACACACATTAATACACTGTACTCTTTATGTTTATATTCACATACAGACATAGATGTATATATAGTGAGATAGACTTGAGAAAGCATGAAATGAGAGATAACCCAAATGAAAAAGAAATTTATGTACACACACACACACACACTAACTAACTAACAACGAGTGAGGAAAACTAATGAGCCAGGGTAAAAATGTTGATGTTGAAAATAGAATCAATTATATAATATTGGAAAAAAGAAAGAAAACTTATTTCGATGCAATGTTATACAAAAGAGGAACTATTCATTTGATGATTAGATTTAGGTTTATA